TAATCACTGTTGGCGGGCTAATCCAGTAATCATGTTTTGTTTGTATCATATGACGGTGAATATTTCAGCCTTACAGACAGACTGATGATGCCAGAAATCTGTGCTGGATATGAACAACCCTCGAGTGTTTAAAAAACAAAGGTGTAGTAAGACAGTCTAGACCAGTGGTAGTCAACCTTTTTCTACCTACCGCCCACTAATGCATCTTTCTTGATGGAAAAATTTCCTTACCGCCCACCAGTTTTCGCGCAAGCGCGGAATATTTTTTAGAAAGGAGGTTGTTTTAAAAAAAATAAATAAATGTACGTACACTTATCTTTTTATTTCTACTTTATGCATGTTTATAATGTTTTTAACTTTATAAAGTTTAATTAGAAAACAATAAAGTAAATTGAAATTAGCTTTACTAGTGAGATCCTTGAGGCTGATGCTGCGAGACTAAATATTTGATATCTGGTTCGATTTTCGTAAGGAACAAACGAAGGTCTCCTCTTTCGGTGATATTCAGACGGTTTCTCTGTTTGCTCATAATATGATTAACAGCACTAAAGCCTGATTCTACAAGATATGTGGTAGGGAAAGGTATCAATAAATTGAACATCATTTTCCACATATTTGGATATAACGCAGGCATTTTTTTATTTTGCCAGAGTTTTTGGTATCCACCACTGCCAAAATTACATTTACTCTCTTCGTCATATTTAAGTTCTAATAGTTCTTCTTGGCAAGTTATATCAACTTCAGCAACATTTGCTGTAAAAGGATTTATCATCCAGTCATGCACCTTTAAGTTCAAAATATCTTGAAATCGTTTTTCCATATCCAATTTGAGTTCCTTGAGGTGACTACTGAACCTTTCAATATCCCCCGGACTTACATCATTGTTTATAGAGGACAATTCAGGAAACTGATGAAATTCTCTCTTGAAAATATTATGACGGAGAAGATCAAGCTTTTCGATAAATAATGACACAATATTTTTGCAACTTATAAGAGTTATATTGGCTCCTTGAAGCTGCAAATTAATGTCATTAAATCTCTTGAAAATGTCTGCCAAATAAAAGGCATCATTCTTTACGTTTTTTAACTGTTCATAGAGACCAGTCTCATTATCACTTTCAAAAAACTGTACGACACTATCAAATAATGCAACAAAACGAGTCAAGCATGTACCCTTTGAGAGCCATCGAACTTCTGTATGTAAAAGTAACCTAATAAACTGCTCGTTATTGTCCTGGCACAGCTGTCGAAACATTCTATCACACTTGGCATTAGATTTTATCTTATTTACAGCTTTAATTATAATACTTAATGATGAATGGAGACTTGTACTTAAATGTTTTCCTACAATATGTTGTCTGTGTACAACACAATGAATACACAAAACGCTTGGCACTTCTTCCTTCAAGTAAGCAACAAACCCACGATAGCGGCCTACCATTGATGGTGCTCCGTCAGTAGCACATGCAACAATATTGTTCAAGGGTATATTGTTTTTTGCAAAGTATGATTTCACAGCATTAAATATTGATAATCCTTTTGTATCTGTAATCAGATTGACAGTGAATAGCATTTCTTCTTGCAATGTATTGTTTTCATCAAGGTACCGTACATATGTCATCAGTAGAGCATTATTATCTGCAATGACAGACTCATCCAATTGTATAGAAAATGACGAATTTTGGAGAATACCTATAAGTTTATTTTCAACATTAGCCGCCATTTCATCAATGCGTCTCTTTACTGTGTTATCGCTAAGGGGCAATGTTTTTAAAACTTCAGGTATATCCTGATGCATTACTGTTGAGATAAATTCTTTGATAGAGGGTATTATCAAAGTTTCTCCAATATTATGGCTTTTACCACTTTTTGCAATTAAGTGTGATATACGATAAGCTGCAGTTAATCCATCCTCATTCTTTGCATGTTGTTTTTGAAAGGATGTAGCTATTGTTGAACGATTTTGAAATCTTTTATAGATTTCTTGAAAATATTCAATGGGCTTATCTTTATCTTGCGAATGCTTTGTAGTAAGATGTTCTCGCAATCGACTTGGCTTCATTGCTTCATTAGATAATGTCTTGTGGCACAGTAAACACATTGGAAGCTGTTTATTTGTAACAGATTCAATGAAACCCATCTTCAGATACTCTGGTAAATAGCCACGAGCGTATTTCTTTTTTTCAGACATGGGTTCTAAATTTGTTTCACAATTTAACAACTACTTTTACTCTTACGTTTTGATCTGCACTCCACACAGTGCTTTTTTCCCTCCTCTTTTCCCTTTTATTACTAACACCAAAAACAATGCTGTATTAGGTGCCAATTTTTATTAATATCACCATCAAAAGAAATTCCTTTTCCTGCCTGCTTCTTTACCTTCCTTATAGTATATCACTATATTAAGGATCTCTTTTTCCTTTTTTTTATTTTCTCCTTCCCTTACTTATTTTTTTCTTTTATTTTATAAGATAACAAAACTTAATTTATGAGCCAGACTAAACACTGCTTACTCTCCTCCTTTATTTTATCCCCTTTTTTCTATTTTTCTTCCTTTTTTTATCTTTTCCTTTTTATCTCCTTTCTTTTACCTTCCTGAGCGACAAAAGTAAGGCTGAGCTAGTTAGCCCACTTATTATTATTAGCCAACAATTCTCTTTCTCTCTTTGCCCTTAACTTTTCTTTTTCAACTCCTCTGCTCCGTTTCAGCCTGCTTCTGCCTGTCCCTGCTATCAGTTTCCTCTCCTCCCCTAAACAATTCTCTTTCTCCTGCCTATAACTTTTCTTTTTCAACTCCTCTGCTCTGTTTCAGCCTGCTTCTGCCTGTCCCTGCTATCAGTTTCCACTCCTCCCCTAAACAATTCTCTTTCTCCTGCCTATAACTTTTCTTTTTCAACTCCTCTGCTCTGTTTCAGCCTGCTTCTGCCTGTCCCTGCTATCAGTTTCCACTCCTACCCTAAACAATTCTCTTTCTCCTGCCTATAACTTTTCTTTTTCAACTCCTCTGCTCCGTTTCAGCCTGCTTCTGCCTGTCCCTGCTATCAGTTTCAACTCCTCCCCTTCCTCTTCCCACGTGTTTGCGTGCGCTCGCTCCCGCCCGACAACTTCTCACACAAAAGGAGGTTGACTGATGTGTGCGCTCGCGCCCGCCTGCACCGCCCGCCCACTCGCTCGCGTTGGTTTCTTGATGTGTGCGCTCGCTCGCGCGCCCGCTCGCTCGCGCGCCCGCCCGCTCGCGCGCTCGCTCAAAAGGAGGTTTTAACCTCCAAAGTCCCTACCGCCCACCTGGAATCCCAAAACGCCCACTAGTGGGCGGTAGGGACCAGGTTGACGACCCATGGTCTAGACTATAAGCCTTTGTCCTGCTATTTTGCTTTTCCTCTGGGAAAGAGGGCTGGAGCGAAAGAAGATGGTGCCAGAGCCAGAACCCTTCTACACATCCGCAGATTGCAGTGTCTTCAACTTAACAAAATTCCTAACCTGCTAGAGGGAATCCCTCAAAGTCCAGTGACTGGAATGGGGAGGCTCTGTGAACTAAGCCAAAACTTCAAATCATAATGTGGGAAATCCACATGGTTTTTCATGAGGACTTTTCTGTGGTGTGTGAAGAAGCGGTAGCCCTGTCAGGCCAGATAGTTGCAGAGATAGAGGATATGGAAGGCATATGATGGAAGTTGGCGTCTATACAATCCACTAACTGTGCAACGACTTCACTTTGAGAATTTCTAACATGGAAGATCTAAATAGATGAGTAAATATGCACTTCAGAGGCGTACCTCAGCATATTCTAAGACAGGCTTCCCCAAACTCCAGCCCTCCAGATGTTGCTGAACTACAACTCCCATGATTCCCAGCCTATCTATTTCATTAATAGAATCATGGGAGTTGTAGTTCAGCAACATCTGGAGGGCCAGAGTTTGGGAAAGCCTGTTCTTAGACCTAGAACTATCTCACACTCTTCACAAACTTTTTTTTCTGCTGTGTTGCCACTTAAGCAAGCAAAGTTGATCCAACTGGAGGGATATTTTTGGCTTCTGAAATCTTCTAGTGGTCCATCTGACTCATCAAGGGACCATTTACTTAAATTCCAATGTGTCTCAGACAGGGAGACTATCCTCCATACAACAAAGAATAAAATACACATTTGTCCTTCTGGGATCGATCCCAAGCTATAGTTCCATGGACATATTGCCTACACCCACGTAACAAAACTTTGAGAAACTTTAAGATATCTCACAGATCTCGGTTTGTGATGAAATATGGCAAATGCCATAGAGGTCCCCAGTTCTCTGTGGCACCTGGTTTCCTGAGAGCATTAGGATTGCATCAGTCAATATAGCAGAAGGAGAGTGGCCAGTGGGAAGTCGCTGATATTGCTCTGTTTGTCCCTTGGGTTGCCTATGAAGCTGCCTTAGCTGAGCCGACTTCAGCCTTCATCTTACTTTTTGACAATATATATTTACATATATAGTACAGATGGAAGCACTCGCAGAACTTTATTCCAAAGTGACTTTTTTTTTTTCCAGTACAAAGTTACATAGAGATGATCGACGTTTTGATTCCTTTGCCCCATTGTTAAGGATCATGAAATCCATTACTCTGTATTAATGCTGTTCATCCAAAAGAAGATGAAAAGCAAAATTGAAGCAATTTCTAGTTTTGCCACAAAAAAAAGAAAAGGGGAAAGAAATCATAACAATATAAAATTGAGAACATACTCTGTAAGACAATAAAATAAGTGTATATATGGTGAAAAAAACAATATAAGACAAAGTGCTACAATCACCAGCAATGTGGGTCACTCCACCTCACATAAATAAATGGTTAAAACAGTAAAAAATGGTGAGAGCACAGAGAAACAATAATTACCCTTATATTCAATATAAAACCTGTAAAAACACAATGGGAAAAACAGGCATAGGGTAATAACGTACAAATATTATATGAATGAGTAAATACTTGAATAAACTCACATATTCATGAGCCACTTAATATGGAAGCTGGCTCAGACTAGGAACATTGAATGGATTAGTGAGGTGGTCGTTGTAATCCAACTGCTTAATTGCTTGCTCCTTCTTGCTTTACAATATCCAGGATGCAGGATCTTTAATGAAAACCTTTATTCGGTATAGCAGCAAAAAAAAGACAGCAGCAGTAAAAATTAAAATTCAGCAATTCCACCTCTGCACACTAACGCGTTTCAGCCAAAGTACCACACTTTGATAAAGGCTTTGGCTGAAACGCGTTAGTGTGCAGAGGTGGAATTGCTGAATTTAAATTTTTACTGCTGCTGTCTTTTTTTTGCTGCTATACCGAATAAAGGTTTTCATTAAAGATCCTGCATCCTGGATTTTGTAAAGCAAGAAGGAGCAAGCAATTAAGCAGTTGGATTACAACGACCACCTCACTAATCCATTCAATGTTCCTAGTCTGAGCCAGCTTCCATATTAAGTGGCTCATGAATATGTGAGTTTATTCAAGTATTTACTCATTCATATAATATTTGTACGTTATTACCCTATGCCTGTTTTTCCCATTGTGTTTTTACAGGTTTTATATTGAATATAAGGGTAATTATTGTTTCTCTGTGCTCTCACCATTTTTTACTGTTTTAACCATACTCTGTAAGACACAAACAATCCTACCAAGATCAAAAGGTGTTTTGCTCGTTTCTAATTTTGGGAAAAAATCACAGCTATACAATTTTTTTCTGCCCCCAAACCATTGGAACCTTGGAAGGCACATTTTATGGCCACATTCATCAAAGTCCAAATCATTATCTTATTGCCACTGAGCTAACAGTTGTCAGTCTTGCAAGTAAAAAATGTCAGCCATTTTGTAAGTTGCAGTGGTTAAATTATGTAATTTGTTTATAGTTCACTATAATACAAAATATCATTGCCAGCTTAAAAAGAAAAGTGTAAATGGCAGTATTTGGGGAGATTTACTATAAGTATTTCAAGGTTTATTTGCTTAAGTCTGACATTCCAACACAGTAGGAAATATCTGGCAATCAAGACATCTCACTTTAGAAGGTTTAGCAACATGCAGCAAATGCATAAATTTCAAAATTAAGTATGTTTTTTTTTTATTTTAAACAATTTTATTGAGATTGACAATTCAAGAATACTAGACAAAAATGCTAAAATACAGCATAGTACGAGAAATAAAAAGGAAATAAAGTAACGTTGTCAATAGCAGAGAATGTAAAAAACCAAAAAAAAAAAAAAAGCATAGCCTCCATAACGTAGGGCAAAAGTATCTCAAACATAATAAGATTTAAGAAGACAAACACGAAAACAAAAAGTGAGAAAAGTCCATGTATAGACAGCATCCATGTCATAGACAAACCATATACATATACATTAAAACCTCTGACAGGTAGAGTGAACAACATTGATTATATTGTTACAATGGCATCTGTCAAGGGGTGGGAAATATAAGGAGGCAAGTGTACAGTCAGTCACCTCTTGAATTTCATGTGTTGGAAACAGGAAAAAAGTGCAAGTGAAAAGTGACTTTTATAAAGACCAGGATTACCACGCTGATCTGTCGCCCCTCATGATAGCTCTAAAAGAATTAAGACAAAATCTCACTTTTGGCACCTTTATCGCTTGTAATCACAGAATATGATGTATCATTGCACCTGCAAAAATAGAGACTATCCCACCGAATTCATGACATGTGCGAAGTCTGTACTGGTAGAGTATCATTTGACCTGAGAAAGTGGAGTGCAATCATCTGAGTCAAACCAGTCCTCACTGTTAAAGGAACATCATAGCATTAGGAATACAAACATGTATTCCTAACTCTATTAGTATCGTAACACCTGTTTAGGTACCCTTTTCCCCTTGTAATGGTTTGAAAGGTATTACTTACCTTTCAGCCGTTGTCATGCTGGTTTCCAAGATCACGCTCCTCCTCTTCAACTTAAATCATAGCTGTAGATTAAATCAGCAAATCCGATCTTCCCCCATAGTAAAATATAAGGTAATGCAGTCCCTAGAGACTGTTTCCCCCAGACACATCCCTAGAGACTGTCCCGCCTCCAAACACATCCTAGAACTGCTCCCCCTCAGACACATTCCTAGAGACTGCTCCCACCTCCAGACACATCCCTAGAGACTGCTTCCCCCTCAGACAAATCTCTAGAGACTGCTCCCCTCTCCAGACACATTCCTAGAGACTGCTCCCCTCTCCAGACACATTCCTAGAGACTGCTCCCCCCTCAGACAAATCTCTAGAGACTGCTCCCGCCTCAGACACATCCCTGGAGACTGTTTCCCCCCTCAGACACATCCCTGGAGACTGCTCCCCCCTCAGACAAATCTCTAGAGACTGCTCCTGCCTCCAGACACATCCCTAGAGACTGCTCCCGCCTCCAGACACATCCCTAGAGACTGCTTCCCCCTCAGACACATTCCTAGAGACTGCTCCGGCCTCAGACACATCCCTGGAGACTGTTTTCCCCCTCAGACACATTCCTAGAGACTGCTCCCCCCTCAGACACATCCCTAGAGACTGCTCCCGCCTCAGACACATCCCTGGAGACTGTTTCCCCCCTCAGACACATTCCTAGAGACTGCTGCCCCCTCAGACAAATCTCTAGAGACTGCTCCCGCCTCCAGACACATTCCTAGAGACTGCTTCCCCCTCAGACACATCCCTAGAGACTGCTTCCCCCTCAGACACATCCCTAGAGACTGCTCCCCCCCCCCAGACACCTCCCTAGAGACTGCTTCCCCCCTCCAGACACATCCCTAGAGACTGCTTCCCCCCCCAGACACATCCCTAGAGACCCGACTGCCCCCTCATACACATCCCTAAAGACTGCTTCCCCCCTCATACACATCCCTAGAGACTGCTCCCTCCTCCAGACACATTCCTAGAGACTGTTTCCCCCTCAGACACAACCCTAGAGACTGCTCCCGCCTCCAGACACATTCCTATAGACTGCTCCCCCCTCAGACAAATCTCTAGAGACTGCTCCCGCCTCAGACACATTCCTAGAGACTGCTGCCCCCCTCCAGTTACATTCCTAGAGACTGCTGCCCCCTCAGACACATTCCTAGAGACTGCTCCCGCCTCCAGACACATCCCTAGAGACTGCTCCTCCCCCTCAAACACATCCCTAGAGACTGCTCCCGCCTTCAGACATATCCCTAGAGACTGCTGCCCCCTCAGACAAATCTCTAGAGACTGCTCCTGCCTCCAGACACATCCCTAGAGACTGCTCCCGCCTCCAGACACATCCCTAGAGACTGCTTCCCCCTCAGACACATTCCTAGAGACTGCTCCCGCCTCAGACACATCCCTGGAGACTGTTTTCCCCCTCAGACACATTCCTAGAGACTGCTCCCCCCTCAGACACATCCCTAGAGACTGCTCCCGCCTCAGACACATCCCTGGAGACTGTTTCCCCCCTCAGACACATTCCTAGAGACTGCTGCCCCCTCAGACAAATCTCTAGAGACTGCTCCCGCCTCCAGACACATTCCTAGAGACTGCTTCCCCCTCAGACACATCCCTAGAGACTGCTCCCCCCCTCCAGACACATCCCTAGAGACTGCTTCCCCCCTCCAGACACATTCCTAGAGACTGCTGCCCCTCAGACACATTCCTAGAGACTGCTGCCCCCTCAGACACATTCCTAGAGACTGCTCCACCTCAGACAAATCTCTAGAGACTGCTCCCCCCTCAGACAAATCTTTCGAGACTGCTCCCCTCAGACCACATCCCTAGAGACTGCCACTGCCCCCTCAGACACATTCCTAGAGACCCCATCCAGCCTCCAGACACATCCCTCGAGACTGCTCCCCCCCTCAGACACATTCCTAGAGACTGCTCCCGCCTCCAGACACATCCCTAGAGACTGCTCCCCCCTCAGACACATCCCTAGGGACTGCTCCCCCACAGACACATTCCTAGAGACTGCTGCCCCCTCAGACACATCCCTAGAGACTGCTCCCGCCTCCAGACACATCCCTAGAGACTGCTCCCACCTCAGACACATCCCTAGAGACTACTCCCCCTCAGACACATCCCTAGAGACTACTCCCCCTCAGACACATCCCTAGAGATTGCTGCCCCCTCAGACACATCCCTAGAGACTGTTGCCCCGTCACACATATCCCTTGAGACTGCTCCCTTCAAAAGACACATTTCCATAACCTGCTCTTTCAGACATCCTACAATCTGCTTCCTCTCCCTCCCCCAGTCACATCCCTACTACCTGTACTCGCCCCCTGACACATTTCTATAGGCAGAGTGCCCTAGAAGTGGGATTGCCCAGTTTATAAATCAGATAATGTATGGTAGTTGGTAGCGTAGCATAATGTGTCTGAGGGGGCAGCAGTCTCTAGGAATGTGTCTGAGGGGGTAGCAGTCTCCAGGGATGTGTCTGAGGGGGCAAACAGTCTCCAGGGATGTGTCTGAGGCGGGAGCAGTCTCTAGGAATGTGTCTGGAGAGGGGAGCAGTCTCTAGGAATGTGTCTGGAGAGAGGAGCAGTCTCTAGAGATTTGTCTGAGGGGGAGCAGTCTCTAGGGATGTCTGGAGGCGGGAGCAGTCTCTAGAGATTTGTCTGAGGGGGGAGCAGTCTCTAAGGATATTATGCTACACTACCAACTACCATACATTATCTGATTTATAAACTGGGCAATCCCACTTCTAGGGCACTCTGCCTATAGCAATGTGTCAGGGGGCGAGTACAGGTAGTAGGGATGTGACTGGGGGAGGGAGAGGAAGCAGATTGTAGGATGTCTGAAAGAGCAGGTTATGGAAATGTGTCTTTTGAAGGGAGCAGTCTCAAGGGATATGTGTGACGGGGCAACAGTCTCTAGGGATGTGTCTGAGGGGGCAGCCTCCACCCAATTAAACATAGGGTGTCAGGGCAGAACATATGCATACCAGGGCGACCGGCAACATAATCTGTACTGTCATTTAGGAACGCGCTATAAAAAATGCCATGCACTGACATTCAATGAAGCAAGCATGTTTTAAGACCAAAAACAAGATAAAAGGGACAAGTGTCAAAAATCAGGGACTGTCTAGCCAGATCCAGGACAGTTGGCAAGTATAGAGCAGTGCTTATGATGGACAGTCAATACCAAATTCACCATTTGCTAATTTACAGTATGTTATGTATAATTTATAAATTATTTAGTGGCCATCTGGTTATTTGTGGTCTCCCAATTTCATTTATATTAAATAAAAAATATTATTTAATTTGGCTCACATTCAGCTGTTAACACTGTATTATTTAATGTCTTGTGGTTTTCTAAATAGTAAATCACATTTTTTGTTTGTAAGCCATTCTTTAAAATGGATGGCTGTTCTTACTTAACATATCTGCTATTAGCAATTACACAATCATTAAGACATTTTAACAATTGATCAATCTAAACATATGTTCATTAAAATATTTAGCCACACTAGATACAATGTTTCCAAGATAGTTGTATTAAGTGTATAATTCTCAAATTGTAACATGTTTAACTGATTAAATGTAGGATATATTTTAGGTTTGATTT